GTATTGGTCTGCTTATGATGGTACGCTTCATATTGCCCTGTCGACATGCTTAATGTTGAAGCCATGATCGCGAACTCTGTCGGCTACTAGAGTTTAACCAATGCCCCTGCTACAGAGCCCTGACCAATCACGCCACCTCCTTCTACAAGAATTACATGTCTGTGACCTCCCAATATTGAGGCCCCTTAATTAAAGCTCAGTTAAGAAATTTACCTCATAAGGGTGACCCTATTATGATTCACGATATGAATACTTTAAGTTATATTCCTGAAGTGAGGGATTCTGGGGTCTCCGAGCATCGGTGCGTCGGCCGCAGGTGTGGAAAGGCGCTATCTGAGATGCAGCGAACTTTTAGAATTTGCCTTCCTTGCCATCTAGACGCGACAACAGCAAGCGCAGAAAAGGGTCCCAGCACATGTTTCGTTTTTGGCTCATTCTATTCAGGTTTAAAGAGGTTCCATGGGGGATTAGAGGGTATGAGGGATGTATCAGTGTTTCCGAGGCGAATTTCGGATGAATGAGCCCCTTGCCCCAGACGAGACACTTAATACCAAGAACGTCAAGACAAACCCTATTTAAACCCAAAGGGGGTATTCCCAAGGGTTCTACATTGAAGCATGTACCCGAAGGTCTGCAGATTGCCTGGCTCCTAGGACCCTTACTTATGCTCAGGCTTAGGTGTAGACCCGAGACTCAACGCCAAGCGATTTCAGGATTCCATAAGTCAACCAAAGCACAGAACCCTTAGAGGAGGGTTTAGGGTTTAGGGTTTAATGGAAACGCAAAGGGGATCTTAGTCTAATTACTAACTTTCTAGGCTCCGTGGTGGAAAAGGAGCCTTAACATTACCCTTAAAGGAACCTGAACCCTTAGACGAGCCCTTAAAGGACCGACTAAGAGCTCGTAAGCACCAAACCTCCGACTTCTGGCTGCTGGGTACGGGCTTCCTGAAATTAAGCACTTTTGTCTCCACAGAATAAAGGGTTTAGGCTTCAGGGACTCCCTAGAATGTAGGGTCGGAATGATTGTGCTATAACTTCACCAAAAAAACCCGATGCTAATCATCAGGACCCTCTATGCGAATCATATTTTATCGGGCTGATAGGGCCTGTTTTGGGCTTACTCGCCGGACCCGGACGGAACAGGGTCTGCTAGGAGCTTACTACGTTCCGTGTGCATTCTAGTGGCTCCGAGTACTATCTATCATCATTGCGACGGCAAGATGTTTCAATATGTCCGATTGTCCATTCTTGCCAGGTGCCGCGGCTGCATTGAGTTGCAGAGCCGCAGCGTCCACCAACCGCGCTGATACGTTGCTGTACGTGGCTTTCGAGCTCTTTCACAGACTGTCCCAGTTAGGCTACCGGCTACCTTTTCGCCCTGCAACAACTTCGCAGGTGGATTTTCACGGACGCATCTGAAGGAATTCAGCTCGCATCACAAGCGTCGAAAAGAATGCTTCAGCGACCGAATGCAGTACAGGGCACATCCGACCGATCTTCGTGCACGGCTTTTGAGGCTCTTCTCGACGAGGTCGTGTTTCATGGGGTGCCCTTAAAGGGATCTATAAGGGTACCTTTAAGGGGTTCCTTTAAGGGATCTATAGGGTTTTAGGGTTTAGGGATATAAATCCTGCCTGCATGACCCACAATAAGGAGTATACCATAATTCCTTAGTCTAGGGTCATTAAGGTAATGCAGGTCTTGCTATCGATCTGTGGAAATCGTTGTTCGTAGGCCTGCTAGTGCTACCGTTTCTCCGACTGCAAGGAGTCTTGCTACCAGTTAATTACTGTTATCAATGTTGTGGTCATTACCATCGCTTGAAGATATGACATAGAAGAACCTACTGCACCCGTCGCGGAGCGATGAGCGATCATGCTGCCTGTCACAGTGCTGACATTCCTGCAAGACCCCGGTTTTGCATTTTGATGAACACAACAGAAGGAGCCCTAACCCGGGAACCCTACAGCTGTTGAAACCCAAAGCCCTTGCTTCTGAGCAGGTCTGCCTGACATCCTGTTGAGTTTTGGGGTTTAGGGTTTAACTTTTCATTAGACACTAAACCGTGTTCCTCTACAAGCCTGGAGTCCCAAGTGCTAAGCCCAAAGCCAAACTTTTACACCTACAAGAAAGCTTTTTCGCCCTGTAGTCCCTTAGAGTTCATGAAACCCAGAACGGACACCCCCAACCCTCCGTCCTACTCCCAAGCGCGAAGCCCTGTGATTGCACCTTCAGAATTCCAACCTGAGCTTCCGCAGCTGTTGAGCACCCCAGAGTGCCATCAATTCGCTTCCCTGGGGTCTTCTGTCCATTTTGCGAGACGCGGCCTCAGCTCAGCTCTTCTTCTCAAGAGATACCAGATTGAACAGGTTTTGCCTTAGCCCTAACCCTGAATCCTAAACCGCTAGGCCTAAACCCGAAGACCCGAAAACCCCCTTGTTTGTTTCAGCTTAGGGATTCAAGGGTAGTGCTTTCTGGGTGGAGCTGACCCCAAAATCAGAAGCCCAGATACCTTCGCAGTGGGTCATTGTACTTTTATATGACTGCCTGAAGCCTAAACCCTCCAAATCGAATGAGTTTCTGGTGGAGAACCCCAAAGCCTGAAGCCCTTTCAATTGAATGTAGTCCTGGTATGCTCATCATACCTACTCTTACATGAGGGGACCCGGAAGCCCAAATCCAATCATTAAGGCCCCTACCTTACCACTCGGCGCAGGCCTGCATCAGTAATATGGCAGCGATTCCGAAAAGGACCCGTCGAGAGCTGCAGGGTATTGTAGAGTTCTCGAAGGAATGGGATTTGGGCTCAAGGTCCAGAGTTTAGGGCTCCGGGCTCCAGGGTTTTCGTGACTCGTTCAAGTCAGTCGAGAATCCTCTTGCACTGGAACTCAGCAGACGGCTGGGTTTAGGGCAGTTGAAGGTGTATGGCGGCTACTCGAGCAGGGCCGGGTAAAGGTTCGAGAGTAGCTACGTTTCATAAACACGGGCTGCCATAGCGGCCTTTTCTAGTAAGGGTTAGGGGGTCCAATGCGATGACGGTCTGATCCCTGAACCAAGCGTGGCTTCATTTCCGCGTACATCATTGTTCGGCTTTATGCCAGCCATGTCCGGCCTCTACCCATGACAATCGGGAAGAACATTTAGCCATGGTTCTCGCCAAGGAAGAGAATGTTAAGAGCCCCGAAGAGCACAAGCGGCTTCTACGCAATTACTGTGGCAACGTATGCGAAGCAGTTTCCCCGAGTTTGCTTTGCAGGAAACCCCGAAGCCTTAAAGGGGATCCCGACCACGACCACCCCAAAACCCCCTTCAATAGAGCCCTTATGGCCCTTAATACTGGGTTAGAGGGTACTTGGAGGGTCGGGGGACTTAGTAACTAGGTAGTAGGTAGACTTATAAGTACCCTAAAAGGGACCCTTAATTGGGGTTATGGTACTTATAAGTCCTTAAAATAACCAATTCCTAAGTCCCCCGACCCTCCAAGTATAGTTGGGAAGTCTAAGAAACTATCAGTCCTGAGTTTCTCTGAAATCAGGCTCCTGCAGCCTTCCTCCAGCCCTGAAACCTGAAACGTCAAAGCTTCCCTAGGATGCCCAGTAGTACCCTTATTCGCTTTTTGTAGTCCTAGGTTCCTTATAAAGTTACCCAATACCAAAAAGAGAGGCCTTTTTATTCTTAGGTTACTGGGTATCCTAGTTCCTGAAGCATTGAATCTTCAGCCTTTGCACATAAAGCCTGAGGCACCAAGTCAAAATCCCAAATGCCCGGTCCGAACATTTGCATCACGAGCTTGCAAAACTCACCCTAAACCCCAAGACTCAAACCCTCAACCTCAAGCCCAAAAACCCTAAGCCCAAATTCCCAAAACCTCAAAACCTCGAACTTCAAACCCCAGAACCAAACACCTTAAACCCAAAAACCCTAAACCTCAAGCCCCTAGTAACCATAAACCTCGGAACACCTACAGTATAAATAAATCCCAAACCTCAAACTCCAAATCCTATTCCCCAGAAAGGCTCCCCGAACCGCCCCTCCGCCACATGTGGCATTTCAGCTAACCTTTGGGCAGATGGAAAACTAAACCCTAAACCCTAAACCCCAAAAAAAATCCAAATCCTCGACCCATTGGCCCGAAGGATTGAGAAGGAGACTCAGAAGTTGTATCAAGAGCCTCGTCCCATCCGGCTTGTTTTGGGATGGTTTAGGGTCTTAGGGGTTCAGGGTTTAGGATTTAGGGTCTAGGGTCTTAGGGGTTTAGGATTTAGGGTCTAGGGTCTTAGGGGTTTAGGGTCTTAGGGGTTTAGGGTCTTAGGGGTTTAGGGTTTAGGGTGGTTTTAGGGTCTAGGGTTATGGTTGGGGGTCGAGATTTGCTTTGGGGTTTAGGGTCGGGGTGTCGTGGCTGGTTGTGTTTTGGATTTTAGGTTTTAGGGGTTGGCGACTGACCACGAACGAAGTCAGTGACCGACAAGGCAAGTAAGTAGCATCACG